TGTTGACAGTAAGAAAAATGTTGCTTTGTCCCTTAATTCTCTACTCTACTTGCAGATATATAATTGCGTACCTCATACATTTCTCCTATATATAGTTCCTCAGTGGCTTGTACATGCAGTGTGGTCTGATAATGTGTAAATTGTAGGTTGCTTTGATGAAAAGAGCATAAGCTTCTCGGCACATCAGTGTAACACAAATACAAAAATCCAGGGAGAGCAAGTTATTGTGAGATAATTCTTTCTTCACATGTCCACGCATTCAGGCCAGTATGAGAGGAGGAGAAGTGTTAATACAAACTCAAAGTGCGAAAGGGGTGAAGTGGAGACATAGAGAAGAAATACGCATTAAAGATAGTAATACTATAACTCTATACTAGATAATTATGTACGGGCGAATTGGACGCAGTAGATAGAGGGAGAAGAGACAGCACGAGAAGCGTTGGAGCGAAGCGATGGGCAAGATACAGGAGAAGAGAGGGAGGAAGAGACGGGGAGAGAGCAGGGGATGAAGGAGAGCGGAGGGGGACGAAGCAAAGGGAGGGAATGGAAGAAAGAGGATTTATTGAGGCTGCAGGGAAGAGCAGCGTGATAGCTCTCTGATGGATTAAAGGAACGCATGAGAAATGGAGTAGAGAGGGGAGAGAGCGCGGGGGGAGAAAAGTGAAGTTTGTGTTTCTCCTTGGGGCAGCTCTAAACACTGGTATCATTAATGTAGTTGAGAGGAGAGCACTCGCCGAGCACAGTATTTTATTTAAAGGCCACCTGTGGGTATTAGAGAGGGGGAAATCAGGCAAGAGAGAGAGAGAGAGAGAGAGAGAGAGAGAGGGACAGGGTGACAGTCAGATAGCATTAATGAGAAATTGAGTTGAAAAAGAGAGGAGATACTGGACTGGAAGAGTAGAATCGCAAAATTGCTGTAGCCGGCGGTGGTGAGATGGAGGGAGAATAAGAGAAAGAGGACTGGTATTTACCTAGGGTAGAAAGTATACTGTCTCAAGTTCACCTTAGCTCTGCTCATTGCAAACAAGGTTAGTAATACTAAGGGTGTGCATGAATGTGTGTCAATTGGTCTTTCAGCCTTTAGGGTATTGTGCACCCAGGCTTTCTGTCTCCGCACAGTTTCTTTAGACAGAACCCTGCAGACCGACAGTTTTCTTTTAGATGCTTGTAAAAGGAGTTTGTATCTCAGCAGGAATAAACCTTCCCCATATGTTCACGGCAAATAAATATTTCATACTTCAAATATAGCAGCGATGATACTCTGAATACTGAATATTGTTTAGCTTCAACAGTCCCATCTTGTGTTATCCAGCCCAGTCAAGCTCCTTTGTCTGTCTCTATCCGTTCAGCCCAATGAAGGGAAACTGGAAACAAAGACTCCAATTAGTCAGGCAATTAGACTCTTGTTTTGTGTCCTCTACTCATCCTCTGAGTCACACTCTAATAGCTGTTCTTTCCTCTTCCCATCTCTCATTTGCCCTTCACTTGGTCTTTTATGTTTTGTTTTTTTTCTCCTTTGGCATGACGTTCTATATGAAATCACGTCTCAGTGATATTCACTGTAATGTATTTTTCCTTTCAAGATACAGAAAGCATTTATAATTCCCTCTCTGTTTCTGCTGTTCATTTGCTATTTATCGCTCCTCCTTCATCTTTCTTTCCGCTTGTCTCTTTGTCTCTTCATCTCTTTCAACCGCAGCCTGCCTTAGCATCCATCACAGGAAGACTGGTGTGACCAGTGCGCGCACACACACACACACACACACACACACACACACACACACACACACACACAAAACACCTCTATCCCTCCTACTTGGGTTCCTTTGTTTCTCACCCTCCTACATTTTTTCTACAGTCTTTCCGTTATAGTAGCAGTATAAACTTTTGGGCAGAGTACAGATCTTGAAAAAGTATTTTCAAGTTTTTCTCATTTGTCTCCGATCATATCTTTATTTGGACCCATCATGATTCATTTTGGAATATTTTCACACCAAATTGAAAACAAAAACAAGACACAAAGAAATTATTCAAAGCATAAAAAAGGAAATAACTATCAGCAGACAACTGCAGGCAGTGAATCCCAAAGGACTGAATTGGCATACAAAATTGCTTCAAATCACAAAGACAAAACAGAAAGGAGCTAGCTAAACAAAAGATAGATAAGTATATGAATAGGACTTAATGTCCTGCTCTCATCTATTTATCCGTCTCTGTTTCTCTGTGTGATATGATCCTTTTGTTTGTCTCTATCTTGCTCTGCTATTGTTGATAGGCCTGTCTTATCTGGTATCTTGTAACAGGTAAACAGGTTTGTATTGGCTGAGCTGTCACTGCTGAAGTTCAGGCTCTTTGAGTGTGTTGCATTTTCTTTGTAATTTCTGAGAGTAGCAAAGGGATAGAAGAAAGAGATCCTCAAATGTTGACAGACGATGGTGAGTTGAGGATGCATTTTGAGAGCTTTCTTTGTATATCTGTTACAATTATTATTTATTTGAAGCGTGCAGTCCTCTTTGTCTGTGGTTGTGTATCCTGTGTAGCCTTACTCTGAATCGTTGTGGCGGCAGACTGCATCCTCTCAGCTCTGGCATTAGATTATCCCCCAGATGGAGTCGGATTATGGGCTGGAATGGACAGTCTAATGAAGGGTCAGGAAATGCACTAATATATCCTAAAACCCATCTACAGCCATCTACTCAAGGACAGGAGCTACATGAACTGAGACCGCCAATTTTGAGTTCATAAAAGAAAGATGGGACATGTCAGCCTCAAATTTAATTGGGACAGTGACATTCAGTTGTCTCATAAATGCTCCTTTTTGTTGTGTTCCGTTTGACAGTATTTTGTTCATGTCATACTCTATATTTCACTATAGAAAAAATGTTGCCATCAGTTCTCATTATAATTCTCCATTATAATTCTGATTACTCAATTTCCTCACATATTCATCATATTAATTAAAGCTTCATCTGATATAATCTAATCGAATGACTCTTTTGACTGTGTTTTGTCTGAGGTGACTGCCAAATGAGATATTATTTTCTGTTGTTAAGTATGGCTCAAAGTCTGCTATGTTTGAATCATATGGGAAAGGGCAAGCATGGTGCCAAGAGCCAAAGTGGCACTTAAGTTCGCTGACTGCCGTTTCAGCAGCTGCACAGAGAGATGTTCCCTATTCATGAGAGAGTGACCTTAGCACACTGTCAGTGCTCTCCTGCACCAGCAATGATTTATTGGTTACAGAACGCTGGGCAGTTGGATGATGCGGCGGCGTTTGTGCACGGGGCAACACGTGATGGTTCCCCTTCAGCCTTTGTCCTTGCCTTTCAACTCGGTCAACCGCGCCAAAGTGGAACAAAAACGCACACACGCTTAAAAAAATAATCTATACTATAGCTGTAATTTGGCAGTGTTTATCATGAAAGACAAAACATTAATGTCTGGTAGTGCTGAAACAAACTGAAACAAAGGCCTTTCAAATGTAATTTTTCTGCTTTTTCTCTTTGGGTTTTGGACAATAATGCAACTATAATTTGCCACCTTGGACTATGGGAACTTCTGTAATGGGCATCTGTCACTGTTGTCATTGCAATGGCTAAACAAAACATGCACATACTCTCCAGAACGAGGCAATGAAAGTTTCTCAGTTTTCTTGCTTGTCTCCTTTTTCATGTTTTCTCCTGTTTTTATGGGGCTATTTTCAATTCCAAACACAGACCTCATCAAAGAAGATGAGCTTGTGTTTGTTACAGGAGACAAACGGGAGACAGGAGAGAGAAAGGGGACCATCATAGAGAGAGAAAAGAGGCACAGGAAACAGAAACAAAGACAGAAAATGAACAGGAAAAAAAACGAGCAAGCCGTCACATATCTCTGTGAATCAGAGCGCATGAATATGGAGCAGCCAAATGACTCCAAAGTTCAGAGTAGCAAATGTTTCACAAATTTCCATGCTGCTGCAAACATAATTAACATGATTTGTTTATAGGAATTAGGTTTTCCAAGATACAGTATCATTTTATCCTCAAAAGAATATCTACCATTTAATTTAATTAATTAAGGCTCATGCTTTAACAAACAGTCCATTTATACACTGTAGATGTGTACTGCGCATGTATACATGCAAAAACATGGTTTTATTCACAGCCCAACAGTGTGTGTGTATTCAGCTATGACCGTATGTATGTGTTTTGAGAGCTAATGATGTGTGGAGCAGTGTTCGGGTGTCTCTCATTCAGCAGCAGATGCTGACCTATTATCCGAGATGTGTTTTTAATAAGAATAAAGCATTGTTGCTTGTGTTTCGTCAGGGCAGACAATAACATATAGAGCTTTACTCTAATCAGGAGTTACAGCGAAATACTAGAGCTTGTGTAAGTGTAAAATGTTGATTTATGTGGAGCATCGATTTTCTTCCGTCTCTGAAGGAGTATTTTATTCAGGACCCAAGGCTGATAATATGCTGGCTTTCTGCTGTCTTCTTTGCAATCTTCCCTGTAGCACAGAGTTATATTCTAGGCCGATTAACCTGTTTATGCTCAGGTCCAATTGCCATATGTTTTTATGACTATTTTGTGCTATTAAAGTAAAACTGTTTACTTTACTTCACCACAGTCTCACTAAATCCTGTGATACCTTTAGTTTTTGGTAGAGATGTTCCGATACTATTATGCTAATATGTATAACTACTATCATTTTGTATGGCCTGACTCAAGGCGGGTAAAAATGGTGAATCAAGGCTAATAAATTAAATGGTATCAGCTTGCTGTACAGACACGCATTCACGCCGTTATCCGATACCACATTTTAGGCAGTATCAGAGGAATTTCCGATACTGGTATCATAGGTCTCCACACAATAATAATATGTTTTCGGAAATGTGGGTCGCTGAGAAAGATCATAAGGTGGAAGGAGCTGCAGTGGCTTATTATTGAAAGATTATTTTTTTCCCATCAGCTTCAAATATCTAACAATAGCTCTCTCTTTCTCTCTTCCCTCAGCCTAATCTCATCCAGACAATACTACTTTGAGATCCTCCACAAGCAGGATGACATGGGCTCGGATCACGTAGAGGTTGGGGTAAGTGGACCCGTCTACTCATGGGAACTCACTTCCTCTATTCTGCCTTTCTGTTTACAGCTCTTTTTTCCTTCCCAGTCAATTCATTTATCTTCACTTCACTGACTCTTAGCATATGAAACAGCTTTCACCTGTCGTGAGAAAGCTTTCACCTTTTGGCAGGACAATTTGCATTTAGTTTTGACTTGCACTCTGTGATTAACAGTGTCAGAGTGGTGGCTGAACAGGTGAGAAATGAAAGGAAGCTCCATCCTCTCCTCTGCCGTACATTGCTTTATATTTCACTCCTTTTTCCCAGGACTCATCTGACCACAAACTGTATGCAATGAATGCCCTCTTTGTTGTCACACTGACATTCCCTACCAAGGGGTTTAGAGCAACTCATATAAAATCTCTCAACTATTTTTTCTTCTATCCTCTTTCTTCCATTTCTCATCGCTCTCCTCCTCCATCTTACTCTCCCACAGCACCTGTCGTTGGTTTTTCCTCTCTGTATCTTTGTTCTGTACTTCATCTTCTTCTTCTTCTCTAACTTTCTGGGTTTTTTTCTCCTGTTCGCTTTGACTCTCCTTTGCACCGCTTCTCTCTCAGCAGTGGTGTTCTGCACCTCAGGCAAAGCTCAGAGATGAGTGGGGCTTAATTTTCGAGATGAAGTTTCAAATGAGAGCCCACACACCTTGTGTGAGCCTGTACTTTGAGTGGGAGGGCAGATGATAAAAAGAGATCACTGGTGTGTGTATGGAATGAATCTCTTAACAAGCCCCGGGTTATTGTCATCATGGTGACCATCACCGTCAGCAGAGCAGCTGCAGTACTGCTGGATTGGCTCTCTTCCTTTACAAAACTTCAGTGTCATTTTTGCACTCTCGAGGTTAATGGTTTTGTTGTTTTTACTTTTTCTGTCTTTATTCCCTGCAAACTCTGTCTGAGTGCCTCTGGCTACTTTCCTCTACCTATATTTCTGTCTTCCCATTAATTCTTGTTAGTTTCATCCTGGGTCTTTATATACTTAACTCTCCTGTCATATTTCTGTTCCTTTTTTCACCACAAGCCATTCATCACTTCACCACTCTTTAACCTTAGGCCACAGTTTCCAGCACTGCTGTATTATTTGCTGTATTAGTTTCTCTAGTGTCTAAAGCCCTCGGTCTGTTCAGTGTGGTTCTCTGCTGATTGGCTGCTTCTAGATGCCTGTTTTTTAAGAGAAAAGTTGATAGTGTAATATGAGAAGCACCATGTTGAAGTCTGATTCTCATCACACGTGAACCCAATAAGATGTAGGCAGAGGACAGTGTGTGTGTGTAGAGAGAAGAAACATGCATCTACTTTCCAACCATGCCATACTGACACTTCCAGTCTAGTTTGATGATGGTAAATTGACACAACGCGCTTGCAACTTCCTATGGCAGTGTTTTCAAACAGACTGTATAAAATGTCCTGTTAGTTGTAGATCTCCCAAGTACTGTGCTGTTGTTGTGGGTTGTTGATGTGGGTGTGTTATGAATATTCTGCTGATTATGTGCAAGTGTGACTAATAAATTACAGCCTGTGACAGCCACATCCCAGTGGCAAACAAATACATTCGCCTTTATTTGAAAAGCCTCTAGATAGGACTAGGTGTGATATAACGCAATAAAAGTAGAGAGGATACACTGTTATTATATCCTTGTTTCTGGACTACAAGCTCCTATTGGTTAATCTGGTGCCAGTGGTGCTGGGACTAGATGATGTGCACCTCTGTGGTTCTTACACCATGTTCAGACCAAATGGACATAGCTGACAAAAAGAAGGTGGAGGATAGAATAAGGGGAAGGAAAGAAATGGGGCAGGAGTATGGAAAAGGATTGTTACAGGGTTTGTTAGGTAGCTTGCTTAGGAAACATGATGTGTCTCTGCGGTGTGTCAGTCAGAACATGGTAGGCAGGTAATGTCTATGCAGTGTGCACTTTTATATGAAGTATTTCTGCTCTACCTCATGGTATTTCTCATTCAAATCATCATGTTGTTAGCAGACTTTAAAGTCATCCAGAAAATGTCATGTCATAATGTCACATGTGATCCATACTAGTCAATCAAAGTCATGTGGAAATCCATTTCTCTCTCTGTCACCCCCTCCTCCCCCCAGCCAACTACTCATGAGGCCATCAAAGTGGGTTTGTACTAGTAGAAACAATTTAATGAAGCGTATAAAAGTCATGCAGCAAATCAAGGGAATGTGTGTATGCTGGAATGTGTGTATGTGTGTACGCTGTGCTGTCTTAGTAAGACCCCTGTGTGTGATTTAACAGCGGAATACATTTCACACCTTGACAAAAATAGCAGATTTACCGTGACCGGCCCACAACAGCATAAGCCCAGGGCTCACATAAATCTGCAGAAACCCAGGCACTCATTTGTTAAAGAGCAGATAGCGTGGATTCACAGCTCTCTCCTCTGTGTTCTGTGCCAAGCTGTGATTGCATGGTCAAAGGTGGGCTGTTCCTTTGGGAATGTATTTGTTTAGCAGGGCTTGTTATAAAGAAACGGGAGTAAATATCAGATAGTAAACAAGTAGAGTCTTAAAGTTACCATTTGACAAGAAAATAAGAAAGAGAACCCTTGTTCTCTCTGTGTTGGTCTCTCTTTTCCATCGTGTGAAAGAATTAGGGAGAATGGCTGGAAGAATGCGGAACATAAACAGCATTAGAGACAGGAAGAGGCAGGTTAGGAATACACTGCCTTTCCTAAGGGGATGGAAACAACTGTATCTGTGTGTATGAAAGCGGGCCAATGAATGAGGAGATTGTTGAGTTGTTAGGATGAGTAGGCAAGTTACTAAACCTGCAGTCTGACTGAACCTTTCCATTACTGCCCTCTACCTCAGTGTTTTTCTTCAGTTAACTGCAAATAAACTCCCTTCAGAATGATGACTGCTTTTTAAATGGATTACACAAGATGAAAGAAGACCGAGTGAGCAGTAGTTTCATTAAGTTTCTAAAATGTCATCTGGATCTTAGTCAGTGAAATAACAGGACCTTTCCACTGGCCTAATGGAAAACATCTCTTGCTAGCCATGTGACAGAATGAAGGAAAGCATCAGCCATTAAATGGTGTGATTGAGTGGAAGAGGGAGTTAGAGAAAGAAGAGAAGAAAGTCACGCCTTAATTAGTAATGGCAAGTTTATGGAGAGCCAGGGGTGTGGGATTTAAATGCAGGATTTTAATGGCCCTGTTTTATCACTCCTGCCAGGCCAAGCCTCAAACTGCCCACCAATTAATGCAGACACCCGTGTATGCACACACTCACTCTCTCACTCACACACAATCTACCACGACTCCGCAGACTAATGGGTGTGTTCGCAAAGGCACAAACATACACACATGCACACACAGGCCTCTCAACATCTGCCTCACGCCTTCCCTTTTCAGTATAAATCATACGTGGCCCGTGCAACCTGAAGCCAGCTGTTAAAGTATATTGTGTGTGTCGTTTTACTTTGGATATAATTGAGCTTTCTCTTAGTTTCTTCAACACCTTCAAGTATATCCAGCTGCAGTCGCAGCACGAACAAGAAGGAAGTTAAACTTCCAGATATGGTTTGTGGGCTGGTTGGGTCACAGAAGAGACCACCCCAACACATGATTTATATCAACATACCAAACTATAGGTTAATGTGAGATTTAGATGAGACAAAAGAAATCCAATTATAGTAGGCCTTTGTTAAAATAAAAAATGTCAGCCAAATCAGCAGAGTAGGGGCTGGTTTTCCCATTATGTACAAGTTGCAAGAATTATTCAATGATTCACATTATAAAACACATAAAACACTACATTTCGATGTGCATAAATATGTATAAATATATTTTTAGCTCTGGGGCTAACACAATTCATAGTTTATCCTCGTTATTTCATTATTTGCATCCCCTGAGACTACATGTATCAATTTATTCGGGGGAATTGTCACCAAAAAGGTTGAAAACCATTGCTCTAGGGCAACACCACTGCCTGTCAGCTGCTAATAATTGCAGGGTGATCATCCAGATGATGAAAAGTACAAAGACATGGATATACATTTTCAAAGAGAATGTATTCTCATAATCGAGAAGATCTCATCATATAATTAAATATTATTCTCATTCATGTTATTCTCATTTGTTAAAAAAAAAAACACTGGGAGAACACTTGCAGAGTTGAGCCTACGGGGATTTAAAGCCGTTAGCAGAGCTGATTTTCAAATCTCTCTTTCTGCCTTTCATGCCAAAGCTTTCTCTTGTCATCATGCAGATTTGATCAAACACTTCCCAAAGAGCACCGTCCCACACATGGCATAGCTTTTTAACGTTAAAAAAGAGAAGCTATGCAGTGTCCCGTCACCCACACTCATTGTGTCCTTGTCATGTTAACTTTTATATTACATTACTGTATCTTTTATCCTGCATTACCAAGTGCCTCTTAATGGCACTGAATCTTGCAGAGACACTGCTTGTTATCATGGGAAAGTATAATATTTGGAAATTGTGACCTAAGTAGTATTTTAATAGACTTTGAGCTTGTAGCTGCACAGTAGTTTCTCAGTATTTTGTATTCCTGGTAAGAAAGGAACCTTGGATCATCCATATTTTTTCCCTGTTTGAAATCTCCTGAGTACAGTTTTCATGTTCAGTTTTTGGATGCATATTTCATTGAATAAGTTTTCAAGAAACTTGAGTTAAAAGGGTAGAATATGCAGGCCCCCCTGTGTTAGCATATTCAGGTCATGATGAATGTGTCAGATTACATTCTGCTAATGTATTTTATCATTGCATGTTTTTTAATCTGTTATTGGCTGCCTTAGTGCTATCATGCTAAATCAGTTTTTACATGTTCAGTCAGGTCTGTTCACATAGTCCAAAACCGTCAATGTTTTTGTCTCTATTTTATCTCTATTTGTATTCAGGTCAGGCTAGTTATTCTTGTGTTATATGTTTTCCAGTAAGCATTATGTTGACCAAGTCCTTTTCATAAGTTTTATTCATGTGGC